AACACGGCAAATAATTGAGAGGACCAGAAGTGCAACCAGACAATGCGCGTTTTAATCAGGAGATCAAACGCAATGCGATTGCGAACGCACTATTTACAAATCGGGAGTGGTGATACTTTTGCGATAAAAACGACGTTTCGTGTTGTATGTTTATTGAGTATGATGTAAAATGAATATAGTATCCCTATTGAAAAAAACACGTATAATTATACGTATAATAATACGTATAATTATACGTACAATTATACGTATAATAAGACATACGAATTTGAAACAAGAATTATACGTATAATTATACGTATAATAATATGTATAATTATACGTATAATTGTACGTGTTTTTTCAATAGGGATATATTTTTGTTTATTAATATATACCCCCAAATAGCACGGAAACTTGCAGCAAGTTTGCTGCAAACTTACCTTACAAACTTTCAAACCTTGCACAGCAAACTTGCTGCAAGTTTCCGTGCTATTTGGGCCTAAATATTATAAAATATAGACACGTATAATAATACGTATAATAATACGTATAATTATACGTGTTCGTATGTCTTATTCTACGTACAATTATACGTGTTTTTTTCAATAGGGATGTGTATATACTATAGATTTAGTATATAGTGGTATGGTATATAGGTATATGTGTGCACGTATGTCTGTACAGTGAAGTGTACACTGAAAAAATTGTATGGTCCGAGCAATCAAATGTTCGGTTAGTACAACCAAACTTTGATTAGACTAACCAAACAATTCGGTTGGCACAACCAAAGTTTGGTTATACTGACCAAACATTTTTTCAGTGTAGTGCAGTGTTATAATGTTTGATATTTTGTCTAAAAATGTGCCTCATAAATAAATATAAATGCAAATAAATACTTAAGGTGGTTTACTCTCAACAAACTGCAAATATATATGTATATCTATATATAATTATATGTTTATATACTTATGTATACACACTCTTCCTTGAGAGGTTTCCCACTCCATTTAGTAACGTATTTATTGTTTTATTATTTAAAATTATCGATATACTTTTCATGAATCCATGGCAATTTTTCGATACATCCATGATTTTTTGTCAACAATTTAAGTGCTAAAATCTTCAAAACTTTAATTAATTAAAAAATGTTAACATTAATTTTTTGACTTTTTAATAAAATTTTCCGAAAATTTTAATTATTTAAAAATAAATTTAAAATTAAATTAATCATTCTCTAAAACTCAAAACATTTTAGAAAATTTAAGATAAGATTTTCAATAATTTAACTCAATAACGCCCAAATTTTTAAGATTTTTACCTTAAATTCAATGTAATAATTAAAACATTAAAGACCAGATATTATTTTGAAGCGGATCCAGTACAGCGGAATTTTTTTTAAATCGTTTCAATTTTCGTGACATTTACCCCAAATAAGACTAAATTAAACCTCTAATTTGCTTAATTAGCACCTAATTTAAATTAATTTTTAATTATTTTAAGAACCATATTTGAGAATAGGAAGAAATTGTTGGTACGGAAAATGTATAAAAAAAACTCCTAAATTCTATAAAACAAGGAAAAATTTTACTGATGCGGAAATCGTCAAAATATTTTAAATAGCCTTTACAAATATTCGATTATTTGTCATAAATAATTGTTTCAATTGAAACTAAAACCTCTTTAATTGCGGCAATTATTATTTTATTCGATCCAAATACATAATTTATTTGCATAAAATGTAAGAAATTTTGATTAAAGTAAATCAAAAATTTGAATTGAATAAATAACATATTTATTTACTAATTTTTCCATTTCTAAATTAAATTCTTACTCAAATAAATAAATTAAAAAATATGTAATTTCTGCATACTATGATAGCATATTTTCAGTTATCAACTAATTCATACATAGAATTAATGATTATACGCAAACCTGAGAAATAAATAAATCTAAAACTATAATTAATTAAAAGCTAATTACTAATTTCGAAGTGAGAAGTTTGTAAAAACCCTGTAATGGGTATACAAAGAAATAAATTATTATTATTATTTTTAACTAATTATTAATTCATTAATAATTTTTTAAATTAAACTCGAAATTTTTAAAAAATAAAAATTTAAACTTCTGACACAATTTCTATTAATTTTTATTGCAGATTTTTTTATGATACTGAACAATTAATCGTATTAATTTTAAAAAATTTCAATTTTTCTAATGAATAGAATTATAAAAAAAATATTTTTAGATAAACAATTTTATAATTTTCGGTTTTAAATAAAAATTGATTTTTAATCGTTGTTCATCAACTTTGCTTATTCAGCATCGTAATTTTTTAGAAATAAAAATAAATTGTTAAACTGTTAAAAATTACTTTTTTAATTTTTTATAGTGGAATAAAATAATGTCAAATAATTGTTACCCCTAATCAAGACCAATTATTTTTTATTTAAATTTTTAATGATTATTCCTTGAAAAAATTTTCTAAGACAAGGAATTGATGCTCAATGAAAATTCTGTCAAAAATTTAGAATCTGTTGAACAAAAATTTGGTTAAATTTAAATTTTTTCAATAAAAATTGTGTGAAGAAAGAAATAACTCTGTAAAACTCTGTAAATTGCTGTTTAATATAAAATCTATTAAATTATATTTTTATTTAATAAAAATTGTGTTAAATGAAATTTCTTAACGAATATTTTCTAAAATAAAAATTATTCACATGAAATTAAAATAATCCACTTAAATGCAAATTTCACCTAAGAAGTCTGTCAAATATAAATTCAGTAATAGAAAATTAAATTTCTGGAAAAAAATGTATTTGATTCGAATAATTCAATTACTTAACAATTATCAAATAAATATTTACTTCAACCAAATTTTTTTATTTGAATTAAATAAACTGTATTTGAATTAATAATTTCTATATATATGAAACAAATACAATTTAATTGATTCAGATAATAATTATTCAAAACAAATAAATATTTATTTGATAGTATGATAGTAATCAAGCAACCGATTATTTGAATCAAATCAATTTTTTCTTTCTTGGTAAAATTCGGTTTCATAAAATTCAATGTATTAATAAACAAAGTACAGTTTATATAAAATAACATTTATTTTCTAAAAATAAACATGAAAATAACATATAGGTATAAAAGGTAATTTTTTTTACTTAATCTTAAGCTAATTATACTAATAACAAAAAAATAAAAAAGTTTAAAAACTTCTGTTCGGAACCGCTGGGGCTAATGCGATTTTTTATCTTCTTCTACATTCCCGTTTTTTAAAAAATTCCATTTATTGCTCGTTGTTGACTGTTCAGTCAAATGTATTTAAGGCCATGCCTAAGTCATATCAACTATTTAAATGAAATTTCACGAAGCTGAAGTACACAACGTTTATGATAAAAAATTGTTAAAGAAATAATTTTTTAAAACTTAAAATTCTATAATTTTTTGCCTAAATAATATTTCTCGCCTGTTAAAAAATAAAAATAAGTAAATGAATGCATAAATCTATAGAATAATTACAAAAAGTCTATAAAAATTTTACAAACATTTTGTATTGTTTATAATATTAAACTTTGAATTTTATTATTTACCAAGTGTGTATCTTGTCGATTTCTCGGTTCATAAAACAGCTGCTTCTGCTGAAGATATTTCTGTAAAAAAATTTAAGATTATTAACTTAATTATTTATAACAATAAAACATGTTTAATTTACTGTAAGTTTAATTTGAGCTTACATGTAAATTTCAACAAAATATAATTTATATTATAACTATATGTTTTCTTTACCTTATAGATTCATAAGATTCTTTAATTTCCTACATTGTCGTATCGGTGTTTTGTAAATTTTATTTCCTCGTCCTCTTGCTTTCTGATTATTTTCCCGCGTTTGGGCGTGAAGTTTTATTCTGTATAAATACATTAGGGCTTCTTTTCGATGACTTATACAATTTCCGTTGCTTTCAGCAAACCAATCAGGACAATGTGCATTTGTAAATTTAACTCCTTCCTCAGTCAAATCTTTTACAATTTAAAGAGAGCACCAATGATATTTATAGTTTTTCGTGAATGCCAGAAGTTGAATTGCGATTATTTTGCCAAAAGTAGTATTATCTCTCGTCAGTTTTTTTACTCCATCTTTAGTTCCATGCTTATTCGCATATTCACGAAGCTGTAGGTAGAATTCACTTTCATCTAAAGGTTTGTCTTCTTCTCTGGTCATGGTTTGTCTACAAAAATTGCACGCCTTGAATTTTCGAATAACATATCGGGCAATTACTCCTGCAAAATAAATTATTGCATTACCCTCGTAAACACCCATGTTATCGTTTAGGATTTCGTGAACACGATTGAACTCTTCTCTGCTCGAGTTTTCTTCGTCCATGCCTGATTCAGCATCTTCATTTTGAGTTTCAGGAGATTCCATTTCGTGTTCGCAATTTTCCAAAAAATTGACTAACTCGTCAATTTCATCTGTATCTTCAAATTCGTCTTCAGGTTCTTCATTTGTCTCGAGATCGTTTTCGTTCATTTCCAAATCAGCTCGAGCAATTGACAATTGCTTTGATACAATAGTGACTGGAGAAATTAAGGAGGGTGCTGGTTCGCATTGCACATTTGCTCTGGCTTGTATCATTCCACAAGCAAGGATGTGTTTCAAATTCAATCTAAACGATCTCGCAGACGGATTCAGGTTGAATTCTCCCCGTTGTCGAATTTTCGAGAAAGTGTGTTCCACGGAATCTTGATTAGCTAGGCCGCAAGCAAATTCAAAACCCGGGAACTCCATTCTCGTTCTTCGATATACTTCAACAAGACCTTTTACTGTCATTGTTAAACCGTGGAAGCAAGGTGGTTGATGCTGTTTTAGTGCAAAATTTTTTTTGGTCTTCCACGACGTTTTTTTGCAGGTTCAGGAGTTTCTTCTGTTGATGATTCTCACACTCCACTTTGAAGACCATTCCACGAATTCCATCAAAGTTTGATAAGCGTTACAGAAGTCAATGACCACATCTAATTTTTCAGCAAATTCAGCAGAATCACTCCACGTTGTGCTTTTTAGTCCATTTGGATCTTCTCCTGCTAGTCTAATTGCGGAAGCAATCCTTTTGCTAAAAACTTGCATTGGTCGTTTGACATTCATGCTTTCAAAGGCCTTTGGAATAAGGTGAGCATCAGTTATATGGGACAATAATCTTGATGAACTCATCTTTCTGTCAAACATCAATGCATCAACAAAGTCTTGGAAGGAAATGATCACCTTTGTCCCAATATAAATCTTTCCATGAGCTTTAAGCATGGCAAATAATCGTTTGATCAGATGAGGGAAGTCTGCAATTCCGCAATAAAATTCATCATCAACTTCAAACCACAGATCTTCTTCAGAAATGTTTAAAAGCTTGAAGGCACTTTGATTATTGGTGTCCTGATCAGCAGTCAGTACTTTAACATTAGCACCCAATTCTTTTAGTTTTTTTAGGCACATTTGAACAATTTATTTTACTTGTTCACCACTCATTCCACTTTTTCCTGGAAGAAGATAAGCAAGAATTTGGCGCCATCTGTTTGTAGCATTCAAGCTATCGAGACAAAGAAGAAATGCACATTTAGCCCTTTCGTCTAATCTGCCAAGAGGTCCAAGATCCACTATTCCTTCAATGCAATCTGGACCTTTGGAATATTCTTCATAGCTTTTTAAATGAATTTCATCCATTTTTAGGGCACATATTCGTTCTTCGTTTGGGAGCTTTTCGATGCATTCTTCTACTTTTTTGAACATGCTGTCGCATAAGCCTGGTTTAATGTCTACTTCACTAATCCATCTCACTACAGTTATTTCGTGAGGTAAGTTGCAACCAGCTTTGCGAAGTTGCTTGTAAGCAGAAGTAGAATGATACATCATATGCTTCGCTAATTCTTTTTCAGAATCAGAGTACGGCTTATACTTTTTGTGTAACTGCATATGTATCATCGTTCTTGCAACTTGACTTGTACACTTTTGTCGATCTAAAAATGAGTCTACAGATTCATTTTTAAATTTTCGCAATTCGTTTCGATAAGATTTCTTTGACATCTAGTTTGAGTCAATATTCGATTTACAAAGTTAAGAGATTTTTTTAAACGACAAATCTCTCTTTTTAGAGTCTTGATTTTCTCTTTATCAATGCTTTCTGTTCTATAAGATTCCAAATTAAAATCCAATTCTGCATTGGTCACTGGTTGTTCAATTTTTGTCCATTCCATCGCATCGTCGTTTTCATCAAGGAAATCAAGTGATGGTTTCAAATACGTTTTAAGATTTGAAACATCATTGCTCCACTCCATTTGATGATTTTCTTTAATCGTAGGCTGTATATTTTCTTCATCAATAGTTTCTTCTCCTTCTTGCATCACTGCATCTAATTGGATAGTTTCCTTCCTTTTTTTCGTAAAAGGTTGCGGTAAAAGTCTCAGACAATGGGCGACAATTCATCAGCCAAGAATTAAGAACGTTTCTCAAGGACTATGGGATACTCCACCGTTTGACGCCTCCATACTCTCCTCAGTGTAATCCCGTAGAAAGGACAAATAAAGTAATAAAAACCATGATACGCAAATATATGGAAAAGAAAAAACCAGACTGGGACCTCCACCTAACGGAACTTCAGTTCACATACAATACGGCCAAACACTCCTCTACCGGCTTCACCCCCGCCTACCTCAACACAGGACGGGAGTTCCTCCCGCCTGGCTTCCAAAATGCACACCCAGTGCACAGTCGGACCGACAAAACATTAGCCTCTCGTATACAAAATTTACACGAATCACTAGAACTAGTCCGCGCAAACTTAGCTAGATCGTTTCAGAAGCAACAAAAAGCATATAATTTACGAAAGAGAAATTGGTCGCCAATCATAGGAGAGAAGGTGTTACGGAGAAATTTTCAACTGTCTAAAAAGGCGGATAAAATTAATGCGAAGCTACTAGAAAAATTCTGCGGTCCATATGTTGTTAAAAGGAAAATATCACCTGTAATATACGATCTTGTTGACGAGCAAAGCAAAGTGGTCAAAAGCGTTCATTTGAAAGACTTACGGAAATTCAATGAGGACGAGAGGAGATAAATTAAGGTTCCCCCTTTTACAAAGCTGCTAGGAGAGGGAGAAACGACTGCGACATCACGTCAACGGACCTCAAAGACGCTCAGTTAACTCTTAAACCTCGTAAGGAATGGATCGTAGCGAGTTGAAGAAACTATCAATATTAGAACGACGCGAAATAGCATGTGCCGATACAAGATTGTGGGAAGATACTCACGACGATACTGAGGATCTAGACGAAAACCTAAAAAATTGCCTCGGAGTGAATCCCCCTTGCAATCGGGAAAAGAGGCACTTGCCTCAAATCAAGCAAATTTTGCGTCCTCTAACATTTACAACGGTCTCTCCGTCCTTTGTCATCGGCAGTAAGTCTATCAAATTCCCTGTGACTCTTTCCGAACCACTTGCGTTTCCCTGTAAATTTGTCCTTTCTGAAAAAGAAAAAGGGCTTCGAAAAAGGTTCAGAGAATTGAATATTTTTAAACGAATGATAGGAAAAGAACTCAAGCCTACAGTCCCAAAGCTGACTCGCAACGTGCCAAAGATAATCCTAACTCGTATTGACCTAGCCGCCATCTCTGATCCGAAATCCACACCTACTAACGTTCCAGGGAGTACCAAACGATCTTCATTTTCAAAGAAACCCCTTCATTCGTCAACACCAAAGAGATTCGGTCCACGCTCTACATTAAAATCTAAAACAAAGGGAAATGAATTTATTTTAACCTCGCCGATGCGCAAAGAGATAGAGAAGAGAAAGAAGAAGCAGAAACCTGCAACACAAAAAATTTCACCTCCAAAGATGATTTTGGCCTCTACAGAGAACATACCAGCAGACGCCCAGCTCGAAGACCCTGAAATCGAAATTATTAAAATAGTGTCCGTTAAAAAAAAACCCCCGGCTAAAATCACCCTCGAACAACGAACCTGAAATTAAAAAGAAAAATATAAAAATTTTATCTGACGTTATACTGGACGCAAAACTAATCCTACCTCCGAAAGAGACTTCAGTGCGTGTAAACAACACTTCTCCACTTATCAATATACCAGTGGAAGTAACAGACGTTTCGGTCACTCAAGAAAATTGTCCTGACACATTCGACGATTTATTCTCCAGTCTCAATGACACCATCTTCGCCCTCGACGAGGAAGAACTTGCTTCAGCAATCAATTCCATAGATTCAAAATCAGAAGAACCTGAGGAAACAGTCGTACCTTTAACTACCTACTTACAGCACCTGCCTTACCACGTCGTTCGGCTGGAACATGGACCATTAGTCCAAATTCCCATCGGGCCCACTAGATACCGAGTAACAACGCCCCATGGAAAATGGGCCCTACGTCTAGATCAACGTAATGGCAGTATACGATTTTGCAGACGGGTAACATAGTAAGTAATATAGCTTTTCGAAATTTTTAAGCTCATTAGAATTCGCTCTGGAAGCGGGGGGGAGATGTAACGATACGTTATACGAATCGTTCATAATGGGCCGATGATACAAGCAGCGATGCGTCGGAAGAGCGAGTCAGAGAGAAATGACTGTTGCGTCGCTTATCTCGCGCCGCCCTCCCCTCTCTCGTACTACCTCTTACCGAAAGCCAGGAAGAGTAGATACGAGAAGAACACGGGCGATTTGGACAGTTCGCTTCTTGCCTGGCTTCGAGGTGCTTCTCGGGCCAACTTGCCTAGTCACAGCTGGGGGTGAGCGTCGATGTGCGGGTGCTTCCGCCATCGACTCGCACTAGCGGAGGTGACTACGCGAGGGGCAATGCGTACTGGGTCTCTTCTCTCTCGCACGCCCAGCGTTAGCATAGAGGCGCTCCTCTTGTCAACTCTGAACGCGAGGATCGTGATCTCACACTAGAGGAGCTTCTCTGTGTAAGTGATCGATTATGACGATCAATGAACGACAGGAGAAATATTCCCTTCCGTGCTTCCAGAGCTAGTATAGAGGTGCGTCTCTTACTATCTCTGGATGAAAGGTTTGGAATTACACACTAGAGGAGCTTCTCTGTGTGTGTGAACAAACCTTCGGCCCGCTATAAACCAAAAAGGAGGATGCTGGGTATTCCTACTTTAGAGTAGAGGCGCTTCTCTCTCTATTTTAGGAAGATAAGGAAACCATTCGTCTGGACTATGGGTGCTTCCGTGTCCGATGACGAATCTTCCTCCCATACATTCCGTTCTCGGTTTTCACCCCTTCGTTGCACGAATAGAGGTACGTCTCTTTCGTCCAACGAAGAAGATAGGGGATCGAGTTATCCCTCAGGGTACTTCCTGGGGATGACGTTCGTCCCCTAAGTTGACATTCCTACCCGAAATTTCAGGTATGGCAGGAGTGCCTCGAGGACTGCCTGGCACTTTCCCGATCGAACACCGGTTGTGCACGACCGGTGACCTTACTTTAGGACCTAGTCCGGGAACCCTAAAACTAGTCGCCATACCTGGACTACGAAGATTCCCATTATTTTGTTGTGGGGCTTCCAGAGCGTATTTCCAAAAATAGACCTGGTTACGAATTAACATCCGCCGTTTCCTTTGTAAAATTGTAGATGATTGACACTCAGCGCACCTAGGGTCTTCATGGAAAAGTATTATTAAGCCAGCTGCGGCTTCCGAAAATTTATTTAATTTTCTATTTTTCTTTTAATTTACATGGCAGCGTTCTCTACCGTTTCGAAATCTGTCGGCGACGAAATAATGTGAGCCATGTAAAACAAACTCATAAATTACTTTCTTTTTGTAATAGTCTTTCCTTTCTTATTCTTAAATATATGTATTAAATGCATCTAAGGTGTTTTATTGAATTTACCCCTCTCCTCTCTGGCTTCAAGGATAAGGTCCTCTAAATAAAATTATGTAATAACTACAGTCTTGTAGATGGCGCTTCACGCCATCTTTCTCTTTCACAATTAATTTTTGACCTTGGCTCCATCCGGCGAGCGGTCTTCCCGGCTTTAACAATTAACAAACATAAGAAACATAAGTTTTGATTAAAACAGAAGCATTTTAAAAATTTTAGTCGGCCATATTGGATCCGCCATTTTGAATTTTGAATTTCTGCTGTCATATTCGTTAACAGCGACCCCAAAAACACTTAAAAAGTGAGTTTCGTTTCAATCTAAATAATTTGAACTTTTTATGAAAAAAACATGGTCGATTTCTATTCCTCGATTTTTTTTCACTAATTCTGGCATCGGATTCGAATTTAGCATGAAAAAGTACGTAAGTATAGTCGACATAGACAAAGATTTCATCGTTTTTATGCTCGCAGTACATTGAAAACCAATTTTCTACCATAAAATTCCAACTTTACATATTTTTTTTATAGGTTAACAATTTTTTTACAGGTTTCTCCGTATTTTTCCTCTAATCTCTAGAGTCACAGCTTTCATCTCCAATTTTTTTTATTAAATTGTATCAACTCTGTCCCAAGTTCTACGATTTTGACACAAAAATTTACAGTTTTCCTCACTGTGAGACGTATATTTGTTTGTCCGTCTTATATATAAAAGTTGAGAAGTTATTGTATTTCTGAGTGTTAATATCGGTTGGATCTGATTTGTGCCTGTTTTGTGGATTATTGGTGAAACTATTAACAGTGTTTGTTACATATACATTTTTTTTTTACTGTAAACAATTTCGGTATTGTGTTTTGTTTGTCCATGTGTTCAATGCGACTTTATGGGTTTGGTCAATTTAAAATTCATTTTGTTTAAAGTGCACTCTTGTTTGAAAGCCTTTTTCTTTGGATCTATTATTCTTTGGCTTTCGATCGAAAATTATTGATTCAGAATAGCTCTTTTGTCGTATCTCTTTCGCTGTTGTTTTGAAATTGGTTAACTGCCTATTGTTTTGTGTTATTTACTAGCTGTGATTGAAGCCTAATATATAAACAATCATGAGTTTCGTGATTAATGAGGAAAGATGGAACGAACTTCTATCATCTATTAGTAACCTTACAAACTCACACGATGATCTTCGCACAGAAATCCATACTTCTACAAGGGCAATTGAGTCAGTTAACTCTAAGATGAAGATGCACGACGATAGAATCTCGATTGGCGAAAGAACAGTCACAACTTTAAGTAAACAAATGAGATCAAAAAATTTAGTCCTATTCAAATTGGATGACACTGATGAAATAAATAAGAATTTATTAAATGTTATCCTGTCTATCCTCAGTAAAGTAGGTCTAAATATCCCGGATGTAGCTGTAGATGACATTTTCAGAATTGGCAAAAATAGGGATACCCGTGATCGTCCTGTATTAATAAAATTTATCTCAACTCTATGGGTCAGAAAGGTATTTTCCAAGGTAATTGAAAT